CTTGGAGCAGCAATACATTAAAAATATACTGGGCTTTGGGCTCAGAGGACCAGTTTGATTTAGATTGAGGTCACAAAATTGATTAGTACGTCGTAAAAAAAGATATTGTTTGGGATAAAATAGATATTTGAATAAATTTGGGGAGGGGGGGATTTAAATGAACGCGCTCAAAACAATTGGTTACTGGCCTGAAGTCTTCATTAAAGACATTGAGAATTGTTTGTTTAAATCTGCAGACAAAAACATTACTGAAGTTTGAATTTAATCTTAAAAATTGTCACCTTAAAGTTTAAGAAAATAATCCACTTACTCTATATAAGTGGGGAGAAGAAAAGTGTAATGTGAAAAATAAAGAAACTTAACATACTTAGTCACCACAGAGCTAAGAAGAATTAGTGTCACGTGATAATTCTCTGCTTTCTTCTCTATAGTTGACCTTATTTATATCCTCATACTTCACACAACCAGAAAGCAAAACTGAGGCTTGCTGCTTTATGTTTCCAGTAATGTGTGGCCAATCACCCACTTACGTGTATAGCTATTTTTATTTTTTTTGTTTTCCTTTTTTCCCCCCAAGTAAAAGTGAGATTTAAACGAAAAAGAAAAATTTCTTCCACCAAACTGTTAACTGTAAATTAGTCAGTCTCATCGTCAAGACAATAAGTCACCAATACCGATGTTTCTGAGCCAGTTGCATATATTCTCAACTGTGGTTGTTCTCAATGTGTTGATTCAAAAATAAACCATAAATGCTGCATCCATTTTGTAGTTATAGTCTGTGTCCCTTCGGTGTGCACGTGTCACACTTGGACACTTTTGAAAAATGACTTTTGTTGTGTTTCTATAAGAAATACTCCCATTACGCAAGACACCAGGGAAAAAGAGGTTAAAGAAATAAAATAGCAGGTACTTGCGTGGAAAAACATGACAAAAGCATGTGCTTCTGTACAGAACATGAGGGCTCGATGTGGGTGTTTGTTCTGAATCATGTGACACTACTGTTACAGTCGACAGATACTAATTCAGTTGAATATCTGTGAAAGACAATTCCACCATTTTCCAGATGAGAACTATGACCTCCAACTCTAAGAGCTGACTCTCATCCCAGCAGCTTCACACTCGACTGCAAAACACCCATGCATTCTCTGAAAGTCATGGGTTGAAGACGCCACCAGCAACACATAATTTGCAAAATGCTGAAAGGCGACCCTAAAGTTTCCAAACTTGACACCCTCCTCTCAATTCAATTTTCAGTTCAGTTTATTTGTATTTACCTTATTTATAATAAGGTTTAATTGAGATGACTTTTGTTGTGACTTGGCGCTATATAAATAAACTGAATTGAATTGAATTATATAGCGCCAAGTCACAACAGAAGTTATCTCAGAGTGAAACGTTTCAGCACAAAAAAAAAAAAAACCTCTCCAGATGACCTGATTGAAAATTGTTGGATTGTACACCTGAATTATTGAGCATGGACTTTGTTGGTTTTGAACCAGTTTGACATGACTGTTGACGAGGAAGAGGGCCGGCACCAGAGGAGGGTGCGTGCCAAAGAGACCATCTTAGAACCAACATTACTGGTTTGTTCCACTTTGGAGTAAGCTGTTGGGGGAAGAATCAGTTTTGTGTTGTGTGTTTCCTTGACTGATGAAGCCTTCTGGATAGAAGGTGAAAAGTTTCAGCACAAAAAAATAAACTGTCCAGATGACCTGGCTGAAAATTGTTGGATTATCTCAGAGTGCTGAACAAAAACATTTACATACATTATAAATGCCAATTAGTAAAGTTATCCAGTGTTTCCCCTACCACTATACGAGTGGGGTGTCCCACCCCTTCAACAGAACCAAGCACCCCACCCGTCGGCACTGACGTAGCGCTAAGCTAGCGGCTCGCAATACAGGTGTGCTAGCTAAAATGCTAAAGGCAGCCTCTTCCCTCATGCTGAACCCTCATGCTGTAACCCCCCCCCCCCCCCCCCCAACTAGAAAACTGTCGGTACAAACAGCGTGCGGATCAGATGTGTCTACACCCCACCCCACCCCACCCCTGCTCTAAGTCTAACCAATTAGTACAATGTAATCGTTAATTTATTGTGATTTTTAAGCATATTGAACATTTCAACATTTCTCTGATGCTTTTATTTGAATAAATGTACTTCAAACTTTGTACAACAGTTGGCTTTGTATTAAAAACATGTTATAGAATTTATAAAACAGTATCAAAGCAAACCATGTTTAAGTAGTAAGTACAGAAGTATTAATTATACAAAAAACAGGTTGAACCAACTCAACATGTCTATAAAATGTTCCAAATGTGTTGACAATGACACGAGCCCATGTCATGTATCATGATACGTGACATGGGTTCGTGTCATTGGGCACTTTTAAGTGGGTATACTGAAATTCCCACTCTTTTCTAGTGGGTATACTCTGTATGCCTGTGTATCACATAGACTACACCACTGATGTCCTCACTGGCCTGGGACCACATTGAGATCCCGTAGGAGAATCTGGAGTGTTACTGAGGAAAATGAGTCTCTCTCCTGGACCTGTTGCTTCTGCAATTCAATCACCAATAAGTCAAATAAGATAGATGGATTTGTGGAAGATCTTTCAGTGACGCAATCTCAACCAAATGTTTCAGTTAGAATTTACCAATCTGAAAGTACAGATGCCCCTCTGGAGTTTCATCGTAGCCCAGATAGCATATCAAAGCACTCTGTTGGCTGCTCCTTTAATTTCTCATTATCTATAATTATAAGCCCTAACGAAAGGTCTTAATAACACCTCTGGCATGTTTTGATGTCAGAGCGCATGTTGCCTAAGCATTGATTCTCTGGCTTTTGTGTATGTAATTACAGTACGAACTGTTTAGTAAAGATTCAAATGCTGAAGAATGCTGCAGCTCGATAGCCAAGGAGTTTCTGTTGTCCTCTTCTGCAGGCTTCTGATCGACAGTCAGAGCCCTCAGGTCATTCTCCAACAAATAATTTATTCAGTCTATATGCTATTGTTGCAGTCTGCCAGAATCAGCACTTGCTGTTGCCTGGTGTGGGTGTGTTGGACGTCCTTAATGTATGCTTTTACGCCCACCATGAGAAGTGCCCTGCCTCGCCAATACTGTATGAATAGATGGGAATGAATTGAATTATTGTAGCTGTAGTGTGGGAGAGTGCCAGTGGGATCAGAGGGAGATGAAGGGGGGGTGAGGACTAGCAGCTATGCAGTACATCATTGCGGCCTCTGCTGCTCTGACAGAAAAAGAAAAGGGCAAAACAAAAGGAGGGTTCACAGGAACAAAGAAGTGCAGACATGAAAGAAGGAGGGGAGCAGGAATAGAGGGAGCCTCACAAAGCCTGGATGTCGAGACCTCTATCCGATCAGACACACAGGGACCAAATCAAATACTCCAACATTCATGTCAACCACTCAACCTCCTGTTGGCACCACCATTCTTCTGGGCTGTGTTCGTGTCGTAAATAAAGGCGAGTATCCCCGAACAGTCACTCACCGATCTCCTGCCAGACGTAAAAATTAGAAACAGCTTGTTTATTCTTTTTCTTTAAACCTCTGAAGCACTTTGTTGTGATTCTCACAAAGAGGCAACCTTGAGTTTAGAAAAGCTGCTTTAATCCCAAAATCAACTAAGAAATCCCGAAGAGGTGTGCGTAGTTTTATTATTATTATTATTTATTATTATTCACCTGTTTCCTGAGAAGCTCCTTTTAGCGCGTCTTATGATGGATCTGGTCCTTGAGCAGATGACTGTTACAAGAATACAGAAGAAAAAAATGTGCAAACGTTTACTTATCTTTCCATCAAACGTGAAGTCTAATTGTTTTTCTTTGCCTTCAAATTGAAAAATGCACATTTCTTTCTTAAACTAGAAGTCACAATTCAGAAAAAGTAATTTTGTTATTGACTTTTTCTGGATAAAGCTGAAATGGCTTTTCAAATTCATCAGTTTAAGGGAAGCTTTTGTTTCAAATCAAAAGATGACGTTTTTACTTATCTTTTGTTTATGTTTTCAGCTGTTCTCTTTTCTCATATTCAACTGTCGACTGAAGTCTTTTTATTCCTTTGAGCTTCTTTACTGAAAGCAATGACTGGAACATGGGGGGACTGCACAGTTTTCTCTGTCTACTCTTCTTACTCCAGTCGTTCTCTCTCTGCCACACTTTGCCTATCGACGTTTTTCTCTGTTTTCTGTCTCATTATTTTCTGTTTTTGTTCACAGCAACACAGGAAGAACTCCTGAACTAAACCCATTAAAGATAATATGTTGGTTCGTTAAAAAAGAAAGAAAGAAACTCCAAAATAATATTAAAAATCCCAATATTTTTGAAAAAAAAAAAATCATGTATTGTTAGAACAAGGCTTTAAATGAAAATAAAATCAACATCGTTCCTTTTTAGATTTCTATTTGCTTATTAATACTTTAAAATATTTTTACAGAAAGGTGAACGTTAAATTCTTATTAAATAAATGTTTTTGTCTCTAAAGCCTACAAAACGAGTAAAATGTGATATAGCTAAAGGCTAAAATGTAAAAGGTAACAAAGGCCTAGCTATAAAAGTGTCAAAATGATAGCAACAAGCTAATAGCAGATGGCTAGCTAAATGTTACCTAAAGGCTAGGTAAAAGCTAAAAGTAGCAAAAGGCTAGCTAAAGCTGGCAGAACAGCTAAGTCTAAATTTAGCAAGGCAAAAATTGAGCTAATCTGCTGAAGCAGACTTAAGAGGAAATTTGTTTTTGATGGAATTGCGGAAATAATGCATTTCTTTTAGTAATAAAGTTTTAAGTAAGTTAAATATTGTAAGTCCCATCCCTCATAGCATGCGTCTCCTGAATGAACTAAAAGTTTTGATATATAGGTGGCATGGGATACAGAAGTAGGCAAAACTTGGATAACAAAAAATTACAGAAATGGGTTTTATTTGTAATTGAGTACAATAGTACAGCACTGGCCTGTAACTGTGTGTTTTTGTGTTTTTTTAGAGTCCATGTAAGGAGGACAGATAAAGTGGGGACTGAGGCGGCCTTCCATCCCATAGAGGAGTACATGCTGCACGTCGAGGAACAATTCCAACTTCTTGCCAGACGTGTCCACGTTGACAAGAAGCGCGTTTATCTGGCCACTGATGATCCCTCCCTGCTGCAGGAAGCTAAAACCAAGTCAGTGTTATATGAATAAAAAATATGTTTTTATAGTCATTTGCAGCGTCAGCCTACCTGCAATATGTATATACTCTCAGGTATCCAGACTATGAATTCATCAGCGATAACTCCATCTCGTGGTCGGCCGGCCTTCACAACCGTTACACCGAGAATTCGCTAAGAGGCGTCATCCTGGACATCCACTTCCTGTCTCAAACCGACTTCCTGGTCTGCACCTTCTCCTCACAGGTTGGTTTAACTCCACAGTTCATATTTACATAAGGTTTGCAGTCTTAGTTTTTGTTGGTGATATTTGTTATTTCGATGATAGTAGAATAACAGACGTTTTTTTTTTTTTTTTTACTGGGGTATAACATAAGGGCCAGAATTGTAAATTAAATTATTTCAGTTAATACTATTTTTTTTTTTTACAAAAATGTATTTTCAGAAATGTCAGCCACATCCTTTACAGAGTGTCCACATGATCTAGGAAACATTAACTAAAAATAACTACCGTATTTTTTACCATATAAGTCACACTTTTTTGCATACATTTTCAAGTCCTGCATCTTATACACCGAAGCGACTAATATATGTTTTTTGCCTCCAATTTCTGGCTGAGATATGTTTTCATTCATTCTGACATGGAAAATATTGAACACTACCATTTCAGTTGCTAGAGGGCCCTCGACTAATATGGCAAGCCAAGTGTCTCAATAATAGGCAAAAGTGGCTATTAATGAGACACATAGCTTGCCATACCAAGCCACATTCGTCTCGCTCCAGAACTCCTGGAGCAAACGTCAAATCAGCTGCATTTTGTCACACCGCCCAGGTGAAATGCAGCTGATTTGACCATTAAAGTGCATTTATTAAGGAAAAGTTCAACTGAGACACACCTTTACTATAATGTCGAGCAAACTAATAATTTTTTTTAGGTAATTATCTTGTTAAATTTCAAAGAAATGCACAGCGACTCCTCCCTCTATGCGCTCCCGCAGCTGCGAATCGGCTTTTGAAATGCAGCTGATTTGACCATTAAAGTGCATTTATTAAGGAAAAGTTCAAATGAGACACACCTTTGCTATAATTTTGAGCAAACTAATAATTGATTTAAGTGTTAATCTTGTTAAATTCTTGTTAAAGTCCTCCGTGCACGCTCCTGCGGCCATGATTTGGCAGCCAATCGCAACACCGGCTCACATTTCTGGGTGGGCAGTGGTGATGCATAGCAAATGCGACGCATCAGCAGTGACATATAATAGATGCGACGTATACGGCAAAACGACTTATTTATGTTTTTTTTCCCACTTTATTAGACATATTTGGACTGATGCGACGTGTACGACAGACAGTGTGGTAGTTCAGAATGAAGCAAACTTGGAATTTCCTGTTGGGTTTCAGAACAATATACCATAAAACCCCATTTCAAGCTGTGGAAATGCCACTTATCCATTAAAGTTTTCCTCTTTTTCATGAGGCAAACCTAATTGTCTTTTGTGATCACACTCTTGTGACTGTCAACAACCTCATTGTCCTATTTTTTTCCTCACGTGTTTCAAGGCAAAGAAACAATTAAACCACTTATTGGAGCTTCGCCTTTACAGAGAAGCTTTTGTCGTTCACTCCTCTGATTATTTTAGCTTCCAAAGTTCTTGTTTTATCGGGATTCTTTTATGCAAACGCTTCCTTCCATCCCTAAAAATAAAGCGAGTTGATTTCTGTTCATTCTTCTCTTTAAAAGCTCTCTTGAAAGCTCTCACTGGCATGAGTTGCTTAGCATATTTTATCCTTTTATGATGAGGAGAAATGGAGAATACGCGTCTGACAGTGAGCAGTTCTTACGTCTGACTTTATGCTTCTGCAGCTCTGTATTCCAGTCTCATTCACCCTCCTACACTTGTACAACAAACTGAAAATAATCCCAGGTTGTGTTTCTTGGTCAGGTCTGCCGTGTGGCCTACGAGATCATGCAGATGCTGCATCCAGATGCCTCCTCCTTCTTCTACTCCCTGGACGACATCTACTACTTTGGAGGTCAGAACGCCCACAATCAGATTGCCATCTACCCGCACCAGCCACGCAACAGCGAGGACATCCCCCTAGAGCCCGGCGACGTGATCGGCGTAGCCGGCAACCACTGGGACGGCTACTCCAAAGGCATCAACCGTAAACTAGGTCGCACTGGCCTCTACCCCTCCTACAAGGTCAAGGAGAAAATCGAGACCGTGAAGTACCCACTGTATCCTGAGGCGGACAAACTGCTCAACTCTCAAAACAAGTAGAGGATAATAGAAAGAAAAAAAAGAAGAAGAGCATGGAGAGCCACGTAGTCTCCGGTTGCAGAAAAGGAGGCTGCTTTTGTACAGAAGAGAGGCGTTCTCATTGTGCTGAGCTGAGAAGAAAAGAAAAGGCCTTTACCCAGAGGTGATAGGAATACGAATGCACTCTGTGTGTATGTGTGCGTGTGTGTGTGCGCGCGTGTGTGTGCGAGGGAACGTGTGTGCACTTGTGTAACATATGTCAGGTCATGGAAGACTTGCACCCTACCACTGCTCCCCTGCCCGACGTCGTCACGTCGGGTCTGTAGAGACGTAGACGTGAACATTGATTTTTAAATAAAGCAAGAAAACAATTAAAGTGTCCAACGGACCGAGCTCGTCCTCCTGAGACGACACTGGGACTACTGTAAGACTGGAGCACCCCCAGTACGAGCTTCGAATCAATGACTGAAGATTAAAAAAAAAGAAGCCAAACTGGCACAAAGTTTAATTTAATTCTTTCCAGTGGTTTTGATTCTAATCTCGCCTTTTTCTTTTCTTTTTCTCGTATTTTTGTTATTATTTTTATTTTGTTTACTGAATGTATTGTAATTTCCTCTTGCCACGCTCATCGCTGCAGTTTCCTACTCCTCTCCGGTCCATGTTTCACTCCATCTTGTCTCATGTGCAATTAAGTTTACAAAAATCACGTTGTGCTTTTATCCAGTGTTTTGAACGATCTTATTTTTGTCTGTATGGGGCTTGTGCATTGTATACTGTACGGTGTGTGTGTGTGTGTGTGTGTGTGTGTGTGTGTGTGTGTGTGTGTG